TGATTATATACACCTGGAAAATCCTAGAGGGACTAGTACCGAACTTGCACAATAAAATCACTCACTACGAAAGCAAAAGACTTGGCAGACGATGCACCATCCCCCCAATGAAAAGCAGGGGTGTCACTAGCACGTTAAGAGACCATACAATAAGTGTCAGGGGCCCGAGACTGTTCAACTGCCTCCCAGCACACATAAGGGGGATTACCAACAGACCCCTGGCAGTCTTCAAGCTGGCACTGGACAAGCACCTAAAGTCAGTTCCTGATCAGCCGGGCTGTGGCTCGTACGTTGGTTTGCGTGCAGCCAGCAGCAACAGCCTGGTTGATCAGGCGCTGATCCACCAGGAGGCCTGGTCACAGACCGGGCCGCGGGGGCGTTGACCCCCGAAACTCTCTCCAGGTAAACACCAGGAGACACCTCAGGATTGGGGATTGCGACAGTCAAGGGGTTAAAGATACCCAGATGTCGCACATGTGCCTAATTTTCATCTTGTCGGTATTGTATACCATGCATTTTTTTTTTCAACAAACCTGCCATATCCCACCAAGGCAGTGTGGCCCAAAAAGAAAAACGAAAGTTTTTCTTTTTAAATTTAGTAATTTGTACAGAAGAAGGGGTTACTAGCCCCTTGCTCCCGCATTTTAGTCGCCTCTTACAACACGCATGGCTTATGGAGGAAGACTTCTGAAGGGGTTACTAGCCCCTTGCTCCCGCATTTTAGTCGCCTCTTACAACACGCATGGCTTATGGAGGAAGAATTCTGTTCCACTTCCCCATGGAGATAAGAGGAAATAAACAAGAACAAGAACTAGAAAGAAAATAGAAGAAAACCCAGAGGGGTGTGTATATACACCTACCATCCGACTTATGACCTGCTCGACTTACGACAACTTGACTTACGACCGTGTTTTTTATGCCAAATTTCTGGGAAATAAACAACTATTTGTGTTGTACACAGTGTTTATCCTAAACCTTACAGTATAAAATACAGTACTAACAACATAAAAAGTACAGCAAAACATGAAATACCAAAATAAAACAATAAAATAGTCATTACAAAAATGTTTTGTTGATATTCAGTAGTAAAGTTCGACTTACGACCATTTCGACTTACGACCGGTTTCTCGGAACCGAACTCGGTCGTAAGTCGGATGGTAGGTGTATATGCTTGTACATGTATGTGTGTCTACCTTCAACCCTTGATATCTCCATTTAAGAACCCCTACGATAGTGTGACCTAAGTGTAAGAAGTAGTAGCAAGATGTACCTGAAATCTTGCATGTTTATGAGATAGAAAAAAGGCACCAGCAATCCTACCATCATGTAAAACAATTACAGGTTTCCGTTTTACACTCGCTTGGCAGGACGGTAGTACCTCCCTGGGCGGTTGCTGTTTACCAACCTACTACCTATTATACCGTTTATGTACAGCTCAATTTTCAGTGCTACCCAAGCAATAAGCTTTGATAATTCTGTTTACTCACATGCAAGTCCTACTCAAATCCAACCCACTCTCACTCATGCATTTATCCAACCCAAGGTTTTAGCTTCGATAGGACCTTGGGTAAAGGGATGGGGGACTGTAGTGGCAGGATTCCTTGTGAAGAACATTGTGATGGACAACTGAGACCATTTCTTCATATCTACAAACAGAGTTTTGTAGGGAATTATGCCTCTATCAATGTCATTCATTACCTTCAAAGCCCTCAGCATAAATATGATTTGGGGGCTGGGAATTTGCGAATGCTCGAAGCCCGCGAAAGTGGAAAATGCGAATGTTGAGGGAGACCCGTACATGCATATGTAATGTGACCTAAGTGTAATTAGAAGTAGCAAAATGTACCTGTTATCTTGTGTTTATGAAATAGAAAGAAGAGCCACCAGCAGTCCTACCATTGTGTAAAACAAATACTACAGGTTTCCTTTTCACATTCACTTGGCAAGACGGTAATACAGTGGTCCCTCAATTATCGTCCTTAATCCGTTCCTGGAAGTGGGACTATTATCGAGATAGACGATTTTCGAATCAATTTTCCCCATAAGAAATAATGTAAATCCAATTAATTCGTTCCAGACACCAGGAAGTATCAACAACAATTTTTTTTTTTACCTAAAAGATAGATTTACATGCACAAAAGAATGAACTTTCAACATGACAGTTACCTTTATTGAAGGCTGTTGTTGATGAATGGAAGACAGGGAGGAGGAGAGAGGGAAGAGAGGTTATTGTTTGGAAGGGGAATCCCCCTCCATAAGGACTCTAGGTCACTTCTCTAGCATAAATATAGGTTTACATGCAGAAGAAAATGCCAAATAAATGTAAAGCACTAATAAAATGTATAAGTGAACATTGGTAATAGGGGTAGTTGATGGGTGGAATGGTCTGCCTAGTAGGGTGATCGAAGCTAAAACATTGGGTAGTTTCAAATATAGGTTGGATAAATACATGAGTGAGAGGGGTTGGATTTGAGTCGGACTTGCATCTGAGCTTATTGCTTGGGTAGCATTTACTCTGTTAGTGGGTTGGATTTGTGAAGGACTGGCCTAGTATGGGCCAACAGGCTTATTGCAGTGTTCCTCCTTTCTTATGTTCTAAAAGCTATGGCTTGGGTAGTTTCAAATTTAGGTTGTATAAATACACGAGTAAGAGGGGTTGGATTTGAGTCGGACTTGCATCTGAGCTTATTGCTTGGGTAGCATTTATTCTGTTAGTGGGTTGGATTTGTGAATGACTGGCCTAGTATGGGCCAGCAGGCCTACTGTAGTGTTCCTCCTTTCTTATGTTCTTATTGGAGACTTGTTTGTGTGAGGGAGGGATGGCAAGTTTATTGTTGGAGAATATGACACTAATATCAACTCTACGGCTTATTTATCTATCACAATTCAACTAATATGACATAATAAACAATATTAATAACATAGAAACATGGAATATACTCTAGAATGAATAAAATAAGTCATTACGTATGTCACGAGAGGTGTTGTGTTGTTGTTGGGTATATAAGGGCCACTGAGAGTAAGCTGTCCATAATGGTGGTGAAGCAGCAGCTGAGGCAGTGGTGCTTTCTGTAGCCCTGTATAACTCCAACAACATTGGAGGAGTTGGTAGAATCGCTGAATCACTAAAGAAGGAACCCTCTACCACCATCACTACGACCTTCTACCACTATTACAACTGTTACCACTATCACAGCTGCTTCCACTCTACCACCACCACCTTTGTATTTTTCTACAAACTTTTTCATAAATTGTGTGTGTTTCTCACATTCTTTAGCAAAGGGCTGGCACTAGAAGCTTTCTTTGGAGCCATGGTAGCTTATTTAGCACTTGCAAGCACTAAAATCAATGGAATATTATGAAATATTTCGTAGGAGCATGTGAGGGGATCGTCGCTCACTGGTAAACAATGGCACACTGGCTGGGAAGGCAGGCCCAGGCGGCTCAGAGCGTGAGTACCCGTCCCAGACAAAGGACGATTAACGAGTTAATGGACCATTTGCGAGCCAGTGTTTAGACAAAATAACGGGACTATTTCCGAAATGGACGACTTTCAGGCCGGACGATTGTTGAGGGACCACTGTACGTCCCTGGGTGGTTGCTGTCTACCAGCCTACTGTAATTATTGGCAAGATTTGCACCATTAACCCTTTGACTGTTTTGGTTGTATATACAGTGGACCCCTGGTATTCGATATTAATCCTTTCCTGAGAGCTCATCGAATACCGAAAATACCGAAAAGGGAATCAATTTTCCCCATAAGAAATAATGGAAATCAAATTAATCCGTTCAAGACACCCAAAAGTATGAAAAAGAATTTTTTTTGCCACATGAAATATTAATTTTAATACACACAAACTGAAGAAGACATGCACAGTTGCATGACACTTACCTTTATTGAAGATCTGGTGATGATTGATGGGATGGGAGGAGGGGAGAGTGTGGATGGTGGTAGTGTTTAGAAGGGGAATCCCCTTCCATTAGGACTTGAGGTAGCAAGTTCTTTTCCGGGGTTACTTCCCTTCTTCTTTTAATGCCACTAGGACCAGCTTGAGAGTCACTGGACCTCTGACGCAAAACAGATCTGTCCATAGAGCTCTGTACCTCCCGTTCCTTTACGATTTGTCTAAAATGGGCCACAACATTGTCATTGTAATAGTCACCATCACGGCTTGCAATAGCTGTGTTAGGGTGATTTTCATCCATAAAGGTTTGCATTTCAACCCACTGTGCACACATTTCCTTAATTTTTGAAGTAGGCACAATGGATTCCACAACTGGCATAGGCTTCTCAGGGTTAGCCCCAAACCCTTCAAAATCTTTCTTAATTTCCATACTAATTCTCACCTTTTTACTATAGGGTTTGCACTAGAAGCTTTCTTGGGACCCCTGGTGACTTATTTTGCAGAAACAAGCACCAAAAACAGTGATAATATTGAATGTACCGAATGTATACTTAGATGCACGCACACTGGCTGGCTTGTAAACACTGGCACACACAGGGCAGCCCGTTCAGGCCACACGTGGACACGTCTCGTATGAATCGTATCAAATACCGGGTTTTCAAATGGATACCGAGGCAAAATTTTTGCATTAAAATGCATCGAATACCGATGCCATCGAATACTGGGGGTCCACTGTATACGTCTTATGAGCCAGTGTTTTGGACGTATATATACTCGATAATTCTAGCGGTTTCAAATCAAGCAGGAGAAAGCTGGTAGGTCCACATGTGAGAGAATGGGTCAGTGTGCTATCATTTCATAAGAAAAAATAATTTTTTTTTGACTCATGAAATTGTAATGACACAATTGAAAACAAACCATACCACGGGGCTTGCGACAGTCAAAGGGTTAACAGAATGGTTTAGATTATTAGTTTGCTCCACAATGAGGCTACCAATTTGTTCACTGGTTCTACATTATATTTCGTAAATAGCAGAAAATCGTCAAATGTAACTAAGGTAATTGTTTTAAACTAATGACTATGTTATTTTACAGCAATTTGTACCTCGGTATGGATACCGTAAAATACTAGCAGAAAAAGAGAAGAACTGGGTTAAAGAAGTTCCTGATAATGCAGACCCATACGAGGATCAGTTTGCAAAAGCAGCAGAGATAAAGAAGGAAAATATAGCCAAAAATGAGTATCAGCGCTTGCGAAATATAGCCAAGCACAGAAAACTGAAGGTTCCTAATGTTGGAATCACTGGAAATGAATATGCTTCAGCTAAAGATGTGAGTATGAGCGTAGTACTATATAACAAGAAATATTAAATAAATAGCTAATTAAACTGCAAGAAGTTAAATCCTACAGATAAAAATTATTTCTGGAAGAGTAGTTAAAAATGTGAATTATTATTTTCTGTAGTAATAGCTTATTTGGTACATTTTACAATTAAAATTTTATAAAGTTCCTCTATATAGTGCATAATTTTTCTTATTTTTTGTAAATGTGATTGAACAAGGATGCACCTTTGTACTAGCATTTACAAAAAAATCATGCTACATGCATTAGCTTTTTACGAGAACTTACTGTAATGAAAATACTTTGTCAAGTTATTTATTTTTCCTCATATTGCAGCTGGGATTAGCCACGCATTATGCACGACATGCAACGGCTTCATTGGGCAAATTTCAGCCGGATCTTCCAAATGAGAAAAAAGTTAAGGGTTTGGGCAAGAAACGTAAGCACGAAGATACCACTGGTGATGCCGAGGTTGAGAAGAAACGGTACATGGCAGTTCTTGAGAAGATTGACAAGCCAGACCTGAACCTGGAGGGAGCAGTCCATAAGCAGATCAGAGATGAGAATGTTATGTAAGTTCATATTTAGCACTAAGCTCTTCTAAATCTATCAAAATTATTCATGGTTTTCACATTGGCAGGGAAGGAAAGTACCATAGCATTTGCAACAATAGTTGCCATTATTATTTTTATTATCATTGTTATTATTACTTTACAGTGGTGGGGAAAGTATGTACTAAGCATGTAGTGGTAATACAGTGCTTGAGGAATGGGAAGCAAGCAAGTTTGATTCATGGAAAGGGAGGTGTATCTCCAAATCCCTGGACCAAGAGTCCCTAACTAATCTCAAGGTACCCCCTCCGTTTTTTTTTTTTTTTTTTTTTTTTTTTTTGTGTTCCTCATGGGAGGGGGATGCCTGGATGCCAGTTAAGGGCTTTTGATCCAAAGAATTTGAAACTATCCTTCCCTTACTTGCATTGAGCCTGATTGCTGCCAGTTTTACAGGTTTAGAGCTTTCTCATATATAATAATAGTAATAGCCTATTAGATTATAACAGAGGATGACACATGCAGTGTTTGTATTACAAAGCTAATATGTTACAAAAGCCATCTCCCTGTAGCATAGTTTTTAAGTAACCAAAACTTATCTTTCAGAATGGATCTGGAACGCAGAGGTGGGAAGAAATATGGCAGAAGATCAAAAATGGGTGGCAGGCACCGAACTAAATCAGATCATAGAGCTGCTAAATTGGGCAAGGGTTATCATAAAATAAAAGCCAAAATAAAGAGCAAAGCTAAATTTGGGGGCACAGGAAAGGGTGGGAGTAAAGGGAATTTTGGGGATATGAGAAAGGGTGCAGGTAAGGGTAAGGGTGCAGGTAAAGGGAAGGGTGGTGGTAAAGCTAAACGTTAAAAGGCTGTTTTCATTGTTTTAAATTAAAATGCACCTATGACATTATACAAAAGAATATATTACCTGTATATTGTTGGTATGTAGTTAAATAAATGGTGACAGCTGTTAATTTTTTTTGTTTTGTAACATGTGACATAACAGCAAGATATGTTCTCACTTAGACATTCCTACACTTCACTGTTAGGCATGGAATTGTCATGTGGGGGTTTGATAACGTGGATTGGGTAAGAACACTCGCGTAGGCTGGTTAGTATGTATAATTATAATGGAAAGTATGGGAAGCACAGGCTCTCTATATTAAAACTGACTCACCAGTGAAGCCTAGGGGTAAGCAGCATTCAAAAACATGCTATGGTTAGCTGCAATGTGAAAAAGTCAGTGATTCACGCAGACGGTTGGTAGCGAGTCATACTACTGGGAACTGATACTACTGAGAGCTTGGCGACACTAACGTATGTCGTCCTGACATACAGCTAATACAAACTAGAGACAGCAGGCGTACGGCTTGGGCTGATTCTATACAATGGCAAAGTACACAACAATTGAACATTGTAACATACATAGGGAGAATATTGGAATGGAAGCTAATGTAATTTACTGTAATGAAACTTACTGTAATGCATTGCAAGGTATGATATAGCACAACTCGTCGAATGAGACTCAACATTGGGATTACCCAATAGAAGTAATAAAAAAAAAAAATTTGATCAATTGATCGGTATTCACGTGGTCTACGGATTCTGAGGAAGGATATGTACAAAGAAAGAAGTGTTTAACAGTAAAGGCAGACTTGGTGCACTCAAATCTAGACTGTTAAACCTCAGAATTTGGAGAGAACGTGAATACAAAAAAAAAAATTCTTGAATATTATTAAGTTGATACCGTAATTATTCATCTATAAAGGTTATTTACATTTAACCCCAGCTCTGCGAGGATCAAACTCTGTTATTATTATAATAAAAAAGAAGCGCTAAGCCATAAGGGCTATACAACGCTGCAGGGTAGGGAAGGAAGCAAGGGTATCAGGCGGCAGAAGGGGGAGGGATGATTAGTAGGTTACAGAAAACAGCGGGGCAGGGGATAGTGTGGGGGTAAGGGTTAGCAAGAGATTGAGGTAGAAAGGGCTGAAGGTATCATCAGAGTTTGTGGAGTAGGTCAGTTGTTGTCAAAAAGTCAATAAGAGAGTCCGGATGAAAGGTGGGTCCATCAGCGAGAAGGGAAGGTAAAGAGAGAGTAGTAGAGCAGAGACGATGTTGGAGGTAAATTCTCCGTGCTCGTTGATAAATTGGGCAGTCTAACAGAATGTGGCTGACCGATAATGGAACCTGACAATGCTCACAGAGAGGAGCAGGGCACCTCTCCATGAGATGTCCATGAGTAAGACGATGCGAAGGCGGGAGAGAGTAGTCTCCCAACCTCGACACTGGTGACAAGAAGACGGCCAGTAACCTATACAGTGGACCCTCTACCAACGATATTAATCCGCTCCTGAGAGCTCATCGTTAGTCGAAATTATCATTAGTTGAGTTAATTTTCCCCATAAGAAATAATGGAAATCAAATTAATCTGTTCCTGACACCCCAAAGTATTGAAAAAAAAAAAATTTTACCACACGAAATATTAATTTTAATACACACAAACTGAAGAAGACATGTACAATTACATGACACTTACCTTTTTTGAAGATCTGGTGATGATTGATGGGATGGGAGGAGGGGAGAGTGTGGATGGTGTTGGTGTTTAGAAGGGGAATCCCCTTCCATTAGGACTTGAGGTGTCAAGTCCTTTTCTGGGGTTACTTCCCTTCTTCTTTTAATGCCACTACGACCAGCTTGAGAGTCACTGGACCTCTGTCGCACAACATATCTGTCCATAGAGGCCTGTACCTCCAGTTCCTTTATGACATTCCTGAAGTGTTTCACAACATTGTCAGTGTAATAGTCACCAGCACGGCTTGCAATAGCTGTGTGAGGGTGATTTTCATCAAAAAAGGTTTGCACTTTAAGCCACATTTCCTTAATCTTTGAATTAGACAACTTCTTCAATTTCTCTATCCCCTCCTCTAGAGCAGTTTCCTCAGGTGTGGCCTCTTGCTGTTGAAGATGATCTTGCAGCTCATCAGTGGTTAGTTCTTCATTGTCCCCCTCCACCAACTCTTCCACATCCTCCCCACTAACTTCCAACCCCAAGGACTTCCCCAATGCCACAATTGATTCCACAACTGGCATAGGCTTCTCAGGGTTAGCCTCAAATCCTTCAAAATCCCTTTTGTCTACACATTCTGGCCACAGTTTCTTCCAAGCAGAGTTCAAGGTCCTCTTAGTCACTTCCTCCCAAGCCTTACCTATAATGTTTACACAATTGAGGATGCTAAAGTGATGTCTCCAAAACTCTCTTAGAGTTAGTTGAGTTTCTGAGGTCACTACAAAGCACCTTTCAAACATAGCTTTTGTGTACAGTTTTTTGAAGTTTGCAATGACCTGCTGGTCCATGGGCTGCAGGAGAGGAGTGATATTAGGAGGCAAAAACTTGACCTTAATGAAGTTCATGTCCCCAGAAAGTCGCTCTGCCACGTCTGAAGGATGACCAGGAGCATTGTCTAATACCAGGAGGCACTTAAGGTCCAATTTATTTTCCAGGAGGTAATTTTTCACAGTGGGGGAAAATGCATGGTGTAACCAGTCATAGAAAAGGTCTCTAGTGACCCATGCCTTACTGTTTGCCCTTCACATCACATACAAATTAGCCTTGAGGACATTGTTTTGCTTGAATGCTCTGGGAGTTTCAGAGTGATACACCAATAAAGGCTTCACTTTGCAATCACCACTAGCATTAGCACACATCAAGAGAGTAAGCCTGTCTTTCATAGGCTTATGTCCTGGGAGTGCCTTTTCCTCCTGAGTAATGTAGGTCCTGCTTGGCATTTTCTTCCAAAACAGGCCTGTTTCGTCACAAACACTTGTTCAGGTTTCAATTCTTCACTGTCTATGTACTTGAATTCCTGCACATATCTTTCAGCTGCTTTTTGGTCCGAACTGGCTGCCTCGCCATGCCTTATCACACTATGTATGCCACTACGATTCTTAAATCTCTCAAACCAACCTTTGCTGGCCTTAAATTCACTCACATCACCACTAGTTGCAGGCATTTTTCTAATTAAATCGTCATGCAACTTTCTAGCCTTTTCACATATGATCACTTGAGAGATGCTATCTCCTGCTATCTGTTTTTCGTTTATCCACACCAATAACAGTCTCTCAACATCTATCACTTGCGATCTCAGTTTCGAAAACATAGTTGCACCTTTGGCAAGAACAGCTTCCTTGATTGCCGTTTTCTTGGCCACAATAGTAGCGATGGTTGATTGGGATTTTGTGTACAACATGGCCAGCTCGGAGACTCACTCCACTTTCATACTTAGCAATGATCTCGTTCTTCATATCCTTATTAATTCTCACCCTTTTTGGTGTAGGGTTGGCACTAGAAGCTTTCTTGGGGCCCATGGTGACTTTGCAGGTGCAATCACTAAAAACACTGTGATAATATGAAATGTTCCAATTGTATGTTTTAATGGGACTGCAGTGGCTGGCTGGCTTGTAAACACTGGCACCCACGGGACAAGTGAGGCGCGCTGAGGCCACAAGTGGACGCGTCTTGAACGGAACGAATCCCGTTGGTCGAGTTTTTTAGCGCTAGTCAAGGCAAAATTTTTGCTTTAAAATGTATTGCTAGTCGGATTTAACGTTATACGATGCCATCGAGGGTCCACTGTACTCAGTTTAATAGAACAAAGTTTGTTATTGAGCAGAGCAGACCAACGTTGTTGCCAACGGGTGCGAAGGTGGGTAGCTATTACAGCAAAATTGTCCAGAAATGGAACACCTCTATATGAAAGTGGTAGGTCATGTACTGCTGACCACGCAGCAGTGTCTGCCTGTTCGTTGCCCTGTACGTCAACATGACCAGGGACCCAACAAAAAACAATATCTTTATGCTTAGCAGAGATACGGCGTAGCCAAAGTTGGATACGGAGAACTAGAGGGTGAGGTGTATCAAATTTCTGTATAGCCTGTAGAGCACTGAGGGAGTCTGAGACAACCACAAATGATGACATAGGCATAGATGCGATACGAATAAATGCTGCAAGAATGGCATACAATTCAGCTGTAAAAATGCTAGCCGAAGATAGTAAATGCCCTTGCACAATGCTGTCCGGAAACACTGCTGCAAATCCAACACCGTCAGAAGATTTAGAGCCATCTGTGTACACGGCGATGGCATCAGAATGAGAGTGGAAGTGGTTAAGAAAAAGAGAGCGGGAAGCCACCGTAGGCAGTTGGGCTTTCGAGCAAGGGAGTGAGAGAGAACAGACCTGAACAGCTGGAACTTCCCAGGGGGGTAGGGAAAAGTGAGATGCTACATGAACATATAAAGGTGGCAACTGAAGGGAAGACAACAGCGAATGTAGGCGAAGAGAGAAGGGATGGAGCAAACGGGCGGCGAACAAATAAAGAATCTCTACTTATATCAGTGACCATTCTATAAATGGAAGGATTGCGGAGATCGTGAGAGCACATATAGTAGCGAAGTCAATGGGCATCACGGCGATCAGACAAGGATGGAACATTCGCTTCTGCATAGAGGCTTTCAACAGGGGAAGAGCAAAAAGCACCAAGGCATAAACGTAATCCTTGGTGATGGATGGGGTAAAGGCTAGAGAGAGTAGCAGGAGAGGGTGCTGAATAGATTTGGTCACCATAATCGAGTTTCGATAAAATGAGGGCTGAATGTAGGCAAAGGAGAGTTCGACGATCAGCTCCCCATGAAAAATGAGCAAGGGTCTTGAGAAGGTTCAGCCGGCTGTGACAAGTTGCCTTTAGAGAGGCAATGTGGGGTTTCCAGGATAACCTATGGTCAAAGAGAATGCCTAGAAACCTGACTGTATCATACACGTTCAGGGATATGGGAGCCATAGAGGTACAAAGGATGATCGAAGATGACAGAGCGTCTAGTGAAAGTAATTTGGTGAGTTTTGGTACTGGAAAATTTAAACCTATGCGTGGTAGCCCAATTGGAAACACGGTCGACCGCATGTTGGAGAGAAATTGT